GGATTTGCAAGGGATGTTTTGCAAGGGGCGAAACAATGCGAAACATTTGATTCTAACGAATTGATCATTGGCTTAACACTTGAGAAGGAGAGCCAAATATATGTGGACCTCTTGGCAATCACGAGAAGCATTTCAATTCATCCACCTGCAGTACTAGTACATGCTGATTGAGTATCAGATGCTTTGGTCCCTTAACCGACCGACCTTTCTATTCGCCGTTTCGGGTCCCAACTCGTTCGGAGTTCGCTTCTTCCGGTTCCTCCTCGTTCGACATGGAAGCCCAGCCACTTCGGGCCACCGGCTCGCCACCGCCTCGCCCACTGTGGAATCGCCGAAGACTACACCGTCGTCTTTGACTCGTCTTCCCTCCGAGGTCGACGACCTCGCCGCTTCGAAGCGCGGCGACTTCAGCACGACGACGTCGATCGACGCCGAGAAGAACGGGCGCGAGGCCGGAGAGGGCGGTGACGGGGACGGTTCGGCTTTTTCAGGACAGGTGTGGTGGCGTTTGACTTCAAAGTTGCAGGTGGTGAGTATAGCATCGTATAGCTATATATAGGAGATTGTAGGAGTCACCTATTGAATGGAATGTGGACAGAGAGAATCCGAATCGAGAACAATCAAGCGTTGGGAATTGCGTTTGATTGGATTTAAGAGTGGTCTTCGCATCACAAACAGGCTCAGGATCATCAATTGTCTCACCTCGTTCCTCCTTCACTCCTAGGCAGATTGTCTCTCTAGGCAAGAAGGATTGTTTTGGAGGAAGTCTTCGATTTCGGACTCCAGCCAATTGCTCCGAGCCTTCGTTGCTGTGCCTCTCTTGCTCCTAACCCGGGTCGCGTGCCTCTTGCTCCGTTCGTAAGGCCAGGGGGGCTCCTATAGTATAGCGTCCGATCGCTCCGTTTCGTCTCCGATGCCCTGACCGCTCCGTTCGGTTCGCGTCCTTGTGCCGTTCGTAGCGATGCCAAGAGCCCCCGTTCGTAGCTTCAAGGTCAAATGAAAGTGCAGAGCGCGCACTAAATGCAGAACACTTTTTTGGTACACTTCTCGATTTGCTCAGGTGGGACTCACCACCCCACCATGTAGCCTCGGTTGGTTAAGCGCCTTCCCTGGGCACTCGAGAAGCTCAAAGCACCTGGATTGAGTAATGAATTTTTCTCACATGAGAAATATTACTCAATTCCTAGTAGCAACCAATGGCACACGAACGTCGACCCCTGTGGGGCCCACGGGCGTCGTCGCCAGGGCGACGCCACCATGTTCAGTGAGGAGGCTCCGGTCGACGAGCGAAGTCATGGTGATGGAGCGTACCGTCTCGTGGTACGGCGGAGGAGCAGATATCTAAGAGCAAATCCGTCCTAAACGGATGGTTTTGGGAGGTTAGAAACTCTTTTGATGAGCTCGATGTAGAGGAAGACGACTTCTTTGGTTGTGGTAAGAGCAGATGGGGAACGCCTGAGACTCCGGCAGAGGCTGCCAGGATAATTAGGGCTTGAGGTGGTGCCTCAACCATGGTAGGAGCCAACCAGCAAACGAGGCAAATCGTCATTTTCCGATCTCAACTTCCAGCCCACTGGAACCTAACAGAGCAGAAGTCCAAAAAGCTCGAGTTCACCGGGTTCACCGCTAGCTTTTCCAACTAAAAACACTTGTGCGACCCAATCCGAGCGCTTCCCGGACCTCTCTCGTTCGCCGTTCTGCCAGGCGGCCGTTTTGGGTGCACGGAGCGGGTTCAGCGGCCGAGAGCGCCCCCCCCAAGCCCGACAGGGACGGGCCGCGCATGGAGCGCACACGGACGTGCACCGTCCGGCTGGCGCGGCGAACCACGCGACGACGGCAGCGGTGGAGTGGCAGGAGCTGCTGTCGGAGAGGGCCACGGAATGGATGGCGCAGGTGCGGGGGAGGGAGGAAGTCGAACGGAAGCAGATGGAGGAAATTCTGGAGATGTATGATGTGTGTGTTGGGTTCAACAGGGATGATTTTTGAAGAAGAATCGCTTAGAAGACTGGCGATGCTAGCTATCAGGCGTTTCAGAATTCTTCCACATGAGTCGGGTTTTGGATTTTGGCAGCCGTCAAAGCATGCTGCGGTCGATCACAAGACGGTCGACGCTTTGGATGCTTTGGGAGCGCACCTTGGGAGCTTTTGGACAGCTGAGTAGGATGTTGAGGGATGATGGGTGATTGGAATTTCACAACTCGGCTCCAAAGCTCAGAACATGGCCCCGGAACTCACTGCTCTCTGTATCTCTTTGTTCTAGTTTCAAGCATTTTTGCAAGGTGATAGAGGTCCAGTGCGCATATATCATTCGGAATTAGGTTCATGTTGGCTATCGCAAAGGCACTGCCGTTGGCTATCGCAAAGGTCCAAAAACAGGAGGTGAATGGAGGTGATAGATTGAGAGGTTACCCCAGAGCCTCGAAGAAAATAACTGAGGCCGATGCTGACAATCCGGCTGCCGACCGAGGGTCGGCGAGCGAGATGCACTGGCCGACCGAGGGAGTGCTTTGGATTGAATTCCGCAACCGACATTAGTGACATTTGGAAAAAGAGAAAACTAAAGACAACAAAGACAAAGAAACGCATAGAAAAAACATAGAAAGATCATAGAAAGCTTAAGTTGTCTTTTTCCTTGTTTTCATGTTTTTCTTTTGTCACATATTGCGACGCTGTCCCTCAACACTCCTGGCTCCAATCATCGGGTTTCTGGTTTCAAGATCGTCTTGGAAAGTCAGGAGGTCTGGGAAGTCTTTAGTGATCTCCCGTGATGATCTCTTAGAATTATGCGCTCACCTCCCAAAAATGCAGAACCTTCGGGCTTTGTCGTCCTTTCACCCCTCAAATCATCCACCTCTTTGCTACTAGTAGTCATGCACTTGTAGTTAGTATAGCCATGCACGACTGCTACGACGTAGCGTCCCAGATCCCTTCCGCGACGTTCGCTCCGGTCCCACCGGAGCGCGCGAGCCGAGCCTGCGCGTGAGGTGAAGGGCGGCGAGGTGACGGGCGGATCGCCGGGCGGATCGCGTGATCGGAGGGAACGAGATGACGGAAATGAAGAGGAAGAAGATGAAAGAGATGGAGGAGATGCAAGAGATGAAGGAGATGAAGATGATCGAAGTGCGCAGCATTGCAGTGAAGATGGAGCAGATGGTACTGCTGATCATCTGGATCATGGCCATCATGGCTGCTTTGACAGCGCGCATGGAAGAAGCTCTCAGCTTTCGGATGATGCATTGCATGGGACCTTTTCCAGCGACGGACGGGATGGAGATGGCAGAGATGGCAGAGTGCTCCTTGTTTCAAAGCATGTCTTTGCCAAGCACGGTCGTAGTGGTGAATGGACACCCTGAAATCACCTTTGTTCGGGGGCTATCAATTGCCCTGTGTGAAGTAAGGGGGTAGTGAAGAGTGGGTAAAGATTGGGGTGGATTCGCTGCAGAACGCTTGTGCCACGGCTACACCTGTGTGCAGCAAAATTGACAGATGCCGAAGCTCAAGAATGGACTGCAAGCATTCAGAGCATCTCAACTTTGCGGCACACCTCTTCGCCACAAATTGCTTTTGAATTCACCCAAGCACGTGGTAGTCCTATGCCCAAAACACCCAAGTGGGTTCTGAAGATGAGCGTTCTCTGAAATCGCTCGCGCCACAAGCTGGGGCTGCTCGGGGGTGCAGCTTACCTGTTTTACCCGCATTAACTCAAGATACGTGCTCGAAATATCAATTCATCTCACCTAATTGAGCAGCGCCATAAACTCCCATGTAAAGGTTTAGTAAGAGAGTTATTCTAACGTTGTGGCGCGAAAGCTAAAACCCAGGCCGCGAAAGCTCGCGAAAGCATTTTGCGAAAGACCCTGAAGAGTATTGGATGCGAAAGGTCTTGCGAAAGCATATATTAATGCTGGCACACAACCAAGTCAAACAGTTATTCATTTAGTATCTGAAAGCTGGTGATGGGACTAGAATCCGCGAAAGCTTCGCGAAAGCTTCGCGAAGGAAGCGCGAAAGCAAACCTGGAGTAGAAAATGCGTGTGGTATATCTGCTGCTTCCTATACTGTCCCTGCCCAAAGAAAACCTAGCGTACTTACAATGCTTCCGTCCCCACTAAAGAGGCCAGCGCGCGAAAGCGCCTGCGAAAGCAACTGTTGGAACACCAATGCGCGCGAAAGCTAAGACTGTGGTCGCGCAAGCAGCGCGTAAGGATCTGCGAAAGCATGTTGTTCGTATAAGGGCTTAGGATAGAGGTTTTTGGCATGGCTCAATTAGACATCAAGCAACTGGACCTACCAAGCATTTGAATCGTCCGTCCCGCACCCTCCGTCCTGGTCGGGACCCTTCTCAGGTTGCCCCGACTGCTGCATTCCGCGGTGGACAAGTTCTCCTCGCCTCACGCGTCCGCGACAGCCGCGGCGCACGCCGTCGCGACGGCGAAGGCCGTGGGAGGCGAGGACTCGCCTCCAGCGCTGGACTCGCCGTTCTTCCCGAGAGCCGAGGTGGGACTTTGCAAAACAGCGGTGGACACAAGGGGCGGTGAAAATGGTCGCAGAAGCCTATTGCCTATTGCGTCCTATTGCGACGAAGAGCCAGGAAAAGACACTGATCACTGGTCGGGGGAGGCAATTATCCATGCGTCGGTTTCAACCCTCGCGCGAGTGGAGAGCGGATGAGAGCGGATGAGAGCGGAGGGTGTTTGCGCGGAACGTCGAAGACCTGATCTGGGAATCCAGCGAATGTGGGGGATCTCCAGCGGACTCCGAGCGGCGCCCGTCCGGGGTGGGGTGGCCCGTCGCGGTTCGGAGGACAAACGGTGAGTGAACCGGCACCGACCGTGCGGTGCATGTGGACGGCGGTGGAGTTTCTCTCGACTCATGGTGAAACACCAAACACCAAAGAGTTGATGGTGAAACACCAAAAAGGGCTCGGTACGGGGCGCGGCAGAACCACCGGGCACTGGTGTGGCGGTGAAAGCGAATCGCCGACCTGTGCGCCGCTTCAGGAGCCTTCCGGGCGCACACCAGACTCCGCATCAGAGCATCACTTGACCCACGCGGCGCCCGCGGCGGAGCGGGTGGAAGCGGTGAAGGTGGGGACCCTTCACCTGGATTGAAGGAGGTTCTGGGATGGGCCACTTCGGTCGCAACCGGATGGAAGCCTTCTAACAGGTTAGAAAGGAAAACAGCAATGGTTGCCCGAACTACCCCACCTGGCAGTCATCATTCACCACCAATGTTGGGGAAATATTTGAACACCAAGATTCTTCGTGTATATGGATATTGATGATATTATGATCTATCATGATCAATGAACAGGGCTTTCAACCGGAACACACCACACCGGGGGCTCCAATGCGCACCGACTCGGTCGATGTTCCCTCGTCGACGGTGTTGGGCCTTCGGGTCCGATGTGGTTCGGATCGAGGTGAGGCTAACCAACAGAGGTTAAGTGGCCTGAACTAGGACCCGTCACCAGGGGTACCGAACTAGGATAGCCTAGTTCGGGTTCTTCAACCTTTGCTGGAACAACAAGCACAACAGCCCTAAGATTCATTGGGCCCTCCGAAACTGGAGGCTTTGGACCGTGCATAGGACCCTGCATGCATAGCAGGGGGGCCCTTGGACCCGAAGCAAACCTTCACCGAACTGAGGGTCCTTGAGTCTTAAAAAGAGTGATATTTGCCCACCTGGTTCGGTCTTTGTTCGTGAAAGAAGAACTTGATCCCCTGGTTGGTTCGGTCTCTGATTGGCCTGAGGGCAAGGAAGATTTATGGTAGAGATATGCCAAAACAACCCAACATTCGTTCAACAGAACCTTTGCTCATGAATTTGTAACGAGTTTTTGATGAAAGTAAACGCAATAAAAGAAAAGAAAGCATGGCATCCAACCTAGTAGCGATGGCCTCCACCCTAGTAGCAATGGCCTCCAACCTAAAGTGTTTGGATGTATCTGCAGGTGAGGAAACAGCGAATGCCCCAATGGCATGATCGCTCGGACCGGATGATTTTCGGGACATGTTTGGATCCCTCACTTTCTGGATGACTCCTTGACTCCTTCACCTCAAAATATTCATCGTGCCATCAGCGCCCGCCAGTCACTCGACCTGCCGCGAGCCGCGTCCAGCGGCGTCCCACGGACGTTGGCAGCCACGGATGCCAGCTCCGTCGCCTCATCGGAGACTGGGCCGAGCTCATGACCAACAGATTTCTTTTAGAACAGGACGTTATACCGGGGGTCCCAGGTGCTTATGGACCCTCCTAAGTAGGGGTAGCAACATCGGGCTTGAGGTAGTTTGGAGGGGGCGGGTGAAACCAAACCCATTGGTTTGAGGAGGCCCGAAGCTATTTTGAGGCGAAGACATGTGACATCAAAGCATGCTGCCCGAATTGAAAGAGAAGAGTCAGACATCTCACGCAGTTTTGTGATCGTGCCCAAGAACAAACGCAAAGCGCGGTCATAGTGACTTGAGAGTCGATGGTTGGTTTGGAGAGTAGATGGTTTGGTTGGACCCCCATCTAAAAGACATCGTGGGGGTTGTTTCATGAATACTCTGAAACCATTGTAAGTGTCAAGTATACACTCCTTGAAATCCTCACAGTTATATACGTGGATGGCACCACCATGGTCATCTGAGGCTTGGATGGCGAAGTGCCATCCACCTAACCATGATGGTTACAGGGAGTGAAGCAGTTCATCAACTCTTCATCTTGGTGTCCTTTGAGTCCTTCCCGCTTTTGACCTATGATTGCGAGGGTTTTTTTTTCCGGTGAAAATAGAACTTCCGGGAGACGTGAGACATGGGGCCGAAAAACGAAGGATCCGCCTGGCTGAAGAGCAGTTGCGTCGTTTCCCAGAGCCTTCTGGAACTTGACTCATAATCTCTACCTCACATGATCAGTGGTGTTCATCGGCATCATGGCTAAGTCGCTGTGATGTACAATGCATTCATGCCTCTCAAGATCTTCGAAGTGCCTCTCTGGCTGGCCTGGGTGCTTTCCTCCACTGTGCTCTCGCTGTAGTGCTGTCCACGTTTTGGGACTTGGTGGTCACTTTTCATGCCTTGCCTCCCGCTGGTGGTCCAAAGTCGAGTCTTCGTGGCAGGCGCAGCACTTTGTGAACCGGGAAGTGCAGATTTGGTGGTGGGAGCAGCATTTTGTGAACCTTGAAGTAAACAGCTGTCACTGACCAATTCCGAAAGTTGAAGGATGATGTGCTGCTCTGCAACAAGTGACGACCACTCCGATGTTGCCGGTTCGCTGGGGTCGCTAGCAGTGATGAGGAGGCAGTGGTGTCGATGGACGGGCGCATGGCCTTTGATCGCCCGAGGAACCCTGATGGGATGTTGGACCTGCAACGACCAGGCTACACCGACTTCGGCTGTCTATATGTGGTTTCCATTTCGAAGATCTTAGACCAGCACGAGAAGTGTTCAGAGAGTCAGAGCATATTTGCAGTTTGCCGGGAACACAGATGTGCTTAATTCATCTTAATTCGGGTTCCCGCCTTTCTCCTGCCAGGGAAAGTGCAGAGTTTGTCACAGGCGCAGAATTTTGTGAACCTTGGGGCGCAGACTTCGTGGCAGGAGCAACCATTTATGAACCTTGAAGCCCAGATTTCCATGTATGCGCTCTCATGTGCGCGCTCTTGTTGGTATGCTCTCATACTTGTGCTCTCTAGACCGCTACCCAGACCTCTACCTCTAGATTCTACTCTGGTGCGCTTTGGATTTTCTGTCGACCTTTAGCCTTTGTAGCCCTTTCTGCCCTTGTAGACCTCGATTTTTAGATATGCATCTGAGGACTTCTTTGGCCTTGAGACCTCTAGCCTCTAGCTTTCTAGGCCTCTAGACCAGCTCTTGATATCTGGATGTTTGGGGTGTTAGATCTCGACCTGACCGTCAGGGCCTTGTTCTCTCGTTCGACCTCCGGTTCGATCTCGAGAGTTCTGTCTCCTCTCTCGATCTCTTTGGATCTAAGAATCGACCAGCACCCTCAAGGGGTGGTTAATGGACACCCCTTAACAGCTAAGGGGCTATAAATAGACACCCCTTGGAGGGTCCTGGTATAGACCTCCAGACCGGAACTTCAGATAGAGCGACCTTTGAACGCTCGGAGTCCCGACCTCTAGATCTCTCAAGACCTCTCAAGATTGTTGCTAGACCGGCTAGACCTAAACCTCGTGGGCCTGCCACTGTTTGGGATCTCTTGCCGGAGCAAATTTGAAGCACATCCATCTGAACCTAAACCCAAGCGACTTGCCTTTATTGTGATCTGGTCTCCCAACCAACTAAACCGCCGGCGCAGCCGTCTTCTTGGCTTGAAAGTGTCTGTTTGGTCCGCTTTCTGAGGAGTCCTACGACCCCGAGCTGCTGCAAACCCTGGATCTTCCCGTTTTTTTGAAAGATTGCGGTCTCAGCCGCTGCCGTCGGGGCGTCTACCTCGGGCACTGGGGCCATGACGGCAGCGGCGGCACGCCAGGTGAATCGGAAGGTGGGGTTCGTTAAGTGGAGTTAAGTGGCGGTGGTGGTGGTGGTGGCGGCGCATCACTTGACGAAGTTGACACAAATCACCAGACTTTGGACTTCTCCCTTCAGTCGGAGAAACTATAGGTTTTTGTAGGGTCCCAAATAGTTTTAACAAATTGCAAGGCGCAAGCAGGTTTGTTTACTATAAAGTTGAAGCAAGCTGGCCCAATGAAGATAGAATGGTCTCTCCTCTGACAAGATGCTCTTGTGTCTATTGACCTCACCTCCCGGAGCCGGCGACGCGCGACGCGCGCCAGGCAACGCCAGTTCATGTGACGAGTGGAACTTGGAGAGTTTCTTGGCTTCGTTGGTGGGAAAACCAGGTTCGGTGGGCTTTCTGCGCGTTCTATCGGTTTGGGGGGGGGAGTAAGGAAAGGGGAGTAAGGGCGGGCCAATTCAGGTGTTGGATTCTTTTGAGGGCCAATGTGGTCAACAAAAACGTGTTTGGATGGACACCACGTCCACGCGCAGAGTTTCCACGTCGTGCGGTGGAGACCACGTGGAGACCACGTGTGAGGCTTGGACATGGAGGAGTGGCAGCTGATGGCCGCATGTCTCCACTACCCAGGCGCGAGATGGGTGAACATTCTCTACCCAGGAAAAGTGGATCACCTACAAAACCTTTTGAGGGGTTCTTTTCTCCACTAAACATGATCAGATGGAAAAGGTTAACCCGTATTTCCAGGCTCGTTTGCTCAGATCACTGTAGCTATAGGCGGTTAAGTCTTCATTCTGTGAGCCATTACAAGCAAGCAACATCCTGTTTGAATCTATTTCACCATTTGACCATCCCCTGCAAACGAATTGCAGCTCTTCTCTTCTCACATGCACCCAAAAATTGCACATCTCCAGAAAGCAAAAAGGTTGACAAAAAAAAAAGCACAGGGGACTGAAACAGCATGTTGGCTCTGCCTTCGAATTCGCTTACATCTTCTCCTTGATCCCCAAACTTCCTTCAGGTGCTGTGGAACTCCGGCAGCGGCTCTTGGAGCCCATTGGCCTTTGGCCGAGCCACGCGAGCCGCGGGGCGGTTCCCGCGGCGCTGGCGCGAAGGCGGAGACGAGAAGACGGGACCGGAAAGGGAGAAAAGAGGAGTAACAAGTGCCACGCTAGTAGTAACAGGTGCCTTACTAGTAGTAACAAGAAGCTAGTAGAAACAAGAATTAGTAATTAGGTTGACATGAACCGGTAGGTTGGACGTCGGAAGAGGAAGGCTTTAGGAGGGCCCTCCACGTGGAAGCTTCTTTGTTCAAGGTCTTACGGCCAGTCTTGCGACCTTGTTTTTGGTGCCGCAGAATCACCTATTGCTTGGTACAATGCGATTGCAACAGCTGCTGTACAGCAAGCAACCGCAAAGGCATTACATGCTACTTCAAGCCCCTCGATGACCTCGAAAACTGCCAGGGCGGAGTCAACAACACCTCCGCTGTTCATCCGAAAAGCATGGCCCAAACCCAAACCTGAAATCCGCTGGATCCTTCGGTATCGTTAGTGGTACCACCACTTGAAAGTGGCGCACCTGCCAGGCGGTTCCTGTAAGTACCAGGATTTTTTCTGGTGGCGCCCTTCCTGTAAATGCCAACGCTTTGGAGACCACGGGCTTCGCCATCCCAAAATCCTATGACCGCCATGAGCGGCGCCACTCCTAATGTTATGTTAACGCATTCAAAGGCAGGGCAACGTAACGTTCTTGCAGACCAGCCATGCAGCCATGCTGCTTCAAAACGTACAATACCATGCACAAGAAAGCCATGGAAAATGTGGCTTCGTCATGGTGGGTGCTCGTTGTATCTATAGGGCATAGGGCATACTTCAAAGTGACCCCTTCAGAGTCCCCTTCATGACCTGACCTGCAGGTCTGTCTTTTGCATCTCAAACCTGTAAGCAAGGCTTGGGGTATTCTTTTTGAAGGGCTGCCACGTTTGCTAGTAGAAACAAGTGTCACGCTACTAGGAACAAGTGCCTTACTAGTAGTAACAATGTTTGCTATTAGAATTAAAGTTAATTTATCAGGATCAGACATCCAGCCAAACATCCCAACAACACTCCAAACAAAGCCCAGGTCAGTCAAGATGGAGCAAAGCACGGTCGCGTCACAGGATGGTTTATACCAGGACACCCGGACTAGGGGTGACCGGTGTCGAACTTGATAGCCCCGAAAAGAGGTGATTCGGGGTGTCCATTCACCACCTCTTGTGGGTCCTAGTAGACATCTCTCTATTTTCCGATACATTCCTTTCTGTGGTGCTGGACGCCATTGTACCAGGAACTCCTCTTCGGGCCGCAGCGGTGAGGAGAGCGGGGCGAGCGAGTCCTTGGGCGGAGCGCTGAGGCGGAAGCGGCGCTTGACCTTGCCATACATCCTCTGGCGCCAGGATGACTGAGTCGTGAAATGGTTGTGGCCAAGAGAAAAGGAACCATGTGAACCCCCCAAACGATGAACATCGTCATTCATAGTCCCTAAGGATCCAAGTACCCTCTGAGAAGGTGTTTGGGGTGGGTTTGGAGGGTCCAAGTACCTCTTGACGAGGTACTTGGATCCCTAGGGAATCTATATATAGCCTGATCATTCCATTCAGTTTTTGCTAGTCCAAGTCGCCTGTGTTTTGGACCTGTTCCGCCACTCCACGAAGTCGAATGGGTAACAAAGCCCGCCCTGGTTGCAGGTAGCGAAGGACCTTGCAAGTCAACCAGCCAGTCGGTCTGCTTTTGATCCACAACCATCTCAATTTCATGCCCTTCGCGCCGTTTGCGTCGAGGGCCAGGCACCAAAGTGGCCAATTCCGCGTTCTTTTTCGCGCATGCTTTTTCCTCCGTCTCGATTCGACCGTGTGTCGGTGTGTCGGTGTCTCACCATAGAGAGACCAGCCCAAAAAAGAACAAGCTGAATCCTTTTTGATTGATCTCACGCATGTTGACATCCATGCAGACCTCCAAGTGTTCCGAACAGGACCACGATGAGAGCCGGAAAGTACTAATCCCAAGTTACGAGGTATCCCAAAACGGCACCCCAGGTTACGGGTCCTGATGGATGTCACTTCACCATTTTCTTGCGGTAGAAAAGGGAACTCCCCGCAAGTGACCGAACTTGGAGTTCGGCACCGGGTCAGGTCTGGTCGAACTGAACACTCAAAGCCTAACTGGATGGACACATCGAGGACGATGCGAGAGAACCGAATGGTTGGAAGCGCGGCGTCAACAATCCCAAGGATCTGGACTGGTCAACCGTTTGGGGCCCCGAGCCCCAAACCGACCCCTGTTATATAGGCTTCCGCGAACGGGAGGGTCGAGTCGGATCCTTTATAGTGTCAATCTTCTTCCGATTAAAATGTCCGACGAAGATCACCGCTTGTACCTTGTGCCCGAGCTGCGTGACCGAGTGTGGGTCGCCGTCTCAGAGCTTCTCGCGTGCTGATCTGGGCCAATCTGGCGAGGCGTTGAAGGAGGTGGTTGAATTCTTGCTTCTATATATGGAAGAACGCTATTAGGTGGAGGCCATCGCAAGTAGGTTGGAGGCCATCGCTACTAGTAACAAGAAGCTACTAGTAACCTTGCCGCTTGCACCTTCAGAACTTCAGCGCAGAACTTTGCGTGTTGTTCCGATCCGAAGAAAATGAGGTTGCAGTGCGAGCAAAAATATGGGTGGAGTTGCTGACGAACATTGTGACTAAGATACCGGTCCAATTCAAATGAAAGTCTCCACCGGAGATCAAGAAGCTGGCAGTGGAGGCCATCGCTACTAGGACCATTTCTCATTCCTTGGAGCTGCGGTCTCTCCGGAACCCCATCCATTTCACCACGGACGGACGTCTTCGCACCGCGGACGTCCTTTTCGGAGCGCCCCCGCTTAGCGCCCCAGTACGCGACCGGTTCGCCTCGTCCGGAGCGGTTTCCGGAGCCGCGTGGATCCTGACACGACTGGCATGGCCGTCTTTGTGGGACGACCCCTGAGAGACTCAACCACCCCAATTGTAGACAAATATGGCAGTCCCATGCCAGTGGTGTTTGGGTAAAAATCCTTGACTATCTAGATAGCAGGGGTGATCGGGGTGTTCAAACATTAAGGCGTCTGGACCTGAAGCAAATGCGGTTCTTGAGGGGTGTTCACTGTGAACGAAATCCCTTTCTGGGCAGCATGGCGTCGGGGTCGGGAAAAGGAAGGAGCCACCAATGTGGCGTGCAGCATTTTGCTTCAAGCTCCTTCTACTTGCGATTTGCACAAGGAGAGGAGATGAACATTCCCGTCTTGGCCAGCATCTTGGCTGAAGGAGTGCTTAATAAGTGTTGCACTCTGAGCGACAGAAAAAAGGAAAGGCTCCCTGACCTCAAACCAGCCTGGTCAGTGTCCTCTGAGCTACAAACTAACCAGTGGTTCGCCGCTTCCGCCGCTTCCCCATCCGAAATCGCCAAAAAGCTGGCTGCGCAGACCGGCCGACTCGTCGCCAGCTGAGGTCTTGTCCACGTGGTCACCGGAGTCTGCCTCGAGGGCGGTATCCCACCCCACGAGCGGAAGAACTTGGCCTCTTTGGTTTCAAGTCGCGAGACGTTGCGGAGGTTCGCGATCGGATGTCGTTCGCGGCGGGTGGTTCATACAGGTCAGGTGCCGGGGAGGGAGGGTGTTCGTCAAGGATTCGGATCCGAGTGATGGATGATGGATGATGAATGATGAATGATATGAAACGTTCTTTTCCATTCTTTTCCAACAACTCAACCATGTCATCAGAATAGTCGAAAGATAAATAATCCCGTCCACCATCGTCCACCTATCAATAAACACGGCCCCCCCTATTAAAAAAACTCGGTCGCATTTTTTTAATAGGGGGTCCCTGAAATCGGGGGGTCCAAAATAGGGTCACCTGGGAAGAGCTTCAAAACCAAAAAGTCATCCAGAAAAGTTTTATATAAAGTCCTTTATTAAACTGGTCTGCTTTTAAAGAAGTTGATAAGTTGATTTCCAAAAAATATTGCATAGGTGCTGA